GGGCATCTTTTTATCTTTCGTCTCTATTTTTTCCTGATATTTGTTGATCTTGTTTTACAATCTCTTCTATATACGCCTGGTTATGAAAACGATACCTAGTCACAGGCACTTGTTTCTGAAACAGCAATTACCTATATATATATATATATATATATGTGTTTAGTATTAAATTTATTATTAAGATCCATTTATTACATCGGTGATTCGTTTATTTGGCAATCGCCAATGGCAGTCAGCAGGGTTTAAGAACATTTGTTGTTCGACCTGTTAGTCAAATGCGTTTTGTTAAAATATACTTTTTCACTTTTTCGGTCTTTTGGAAAATGTTGTTTGTGCTGTATTTAGACCCCTCTAACAAGTAATTTGTTTTGCATGCACACGTATAAAAATTGCGGTTTTTATCCAACGCAATCATAGGTTTGAACGTTGTTTTCAATTTAGACTTGTTTATATTTTTTCGTTTGGGCTTGTATTTTATTTGCCTTCGGGTTTACATGATCCGTTCATCCTATTTTGACTCCTCAAAATTCAAGAGTCTATCCTAAATTGAGGTAAATTGTATGGCTTTCCAAATACCGTTTCGATTCCTAACATCACTGAAGAGACATTAATTGTCGAAATCCGGATATGATGTACAAAAACCTTTGCACATCTTGTTTGCAGTATACCATCTTTTCCGCAAGTTTATTGTTTTCTGTTTAGTATTAAATTTATTATTAAGATCCATTTATTACATCGGTGATTCGTTTATTTGGCAATCGCCAATGGCAGTCAGCAGGGTTTAAGAACATTTGTTGATCGACCTGTTAGTCAAATGCGTTTTGTTAAAATATACTTTTTCACTTTTTCGGTCTTTTGGAAAATGTTGTTTGTGCTGTATTTAGACCCCTCTAACAAGAAATTTGTTTTGCATGCACACGTATAAAAATTGCGGTTTTTATCCAACGCAATCATAGGTTTGAACGTTGTTTTCAATTTAGACTTGTTTATATTTTTTCGTTTGGGCTTGTATTTTATTTGCCTTCGGGTTTATATGATCCGTTCATCCTATTTTGACTCCTCAAAATTCAAGAGTCTATCCTAAATTGAGGTAAATTGTATGGCTTTTCAAATACCGTTTCGATTCCTAACATCACTGAAGAGACATTAATTGTCGAAATCCGGATATGATGTACAAAAACCTTTGCACATCTTGTTTGCAGTATACCATCTTTTCCGCAAGTTTATTGTTTTCTGTTTAGTATTAAATTTATTATTAAGATCCATTTATTACATCGGTGATTCGTTTATTTGGCAATCGCCAATGGCAGTCAGCAGGGTTTAAGAACATTTGTTGTTCGACCTGTTAGTCAAATGCGTTTTGTTAAAATATACTTTTTCACTTTTTCGGTCTTTTGGAAAATGTTGTTTGTGCTGTATTTAGACCCCTCTAACAAGAAATTTGTTTTGCATGCACACGTATAAAAATTGCGGTTTTTATCCAACGCAATCATAGGTTTGAACGTTGTTTTCAATTTAGACTTGTTTATATATACATATATGAAGTGCCTGTGTACCTAGTGCACAAATATATAAAATAAATTAAATGCTTGATTTTTTTCTATGCAAATTTACATCCTTTCATATACAGTATATCTGAAATAAAAATGTACATTAGTCACACGGATAGTTGAGCTTTTACGACCACAAATCAAAAGATAATTCAGGTTTTTTTATGGAACGGATCATTGAAGTATACACAGTCTGAATATAAACAAAAATAAGACATTTTCGGCTTTGATTTCATTGAACAAGAAATTTAAGTTGTACATTATTATTTACGGATAAAACAAATTTAGAGAAATTGTCACATTCTTCGAATGTAAAATCTTTTTAAGTTGTGTTTGAATTTCTAAAACACACAAAATAAAAGTTTTATGAGTGACCACACGGGATTTTTAAGGTTTTTGGTTTCAATTTTCAGGTGTAACGCCTAATCTTGGCACATACGCTTTAATCTTTTTTCAATTATGACGGCATCAAAGGAATCAACCTGCATCTTTATTACAAGTATTTATTTATCTTCAAAAGGACAAAATGAGCAATGATATTCCTATAGGAGGTCACGCTTGTTATCGCCTTCCGGTTTATGTCTCCGGATGTCAAGGTGTGCTGTCGTAAACTAGGAGCACCAGACCCTACGTGATGCTGAGCTGAAGAAGAATCGCACCATTTCCTGTGATGTAATTAATCAATTTCACACTTCCTTACTAGTACTATTAGCAACTATATAAAAGTTGTAAACGTCCAATTTCGTGGACATTATTAAATATATTCTTAACAAGCCGTCGTAATTGAGTCAATAAATTATTGGAGTTTTTGAAATCCAATAAAGTTCCTATAGAGTGAATGAGATAGCAAAGTTTTGAGATAATAAATAAATCTCTTTTATTAGGTGCCGTGGCTAATCGGTTACTCATGACAAAGTAGACACTTTCACGGTACTGTTTGTCTGAAATTAATGTACAAAATAATTATAAACCTCAAGAAAATAAAACCATTAGACTGCAATTTATACAATTTGTACAGATGATTAAAAATGAGTTTATTCTAGCTTTCATCTTCTTGTGTATAATTCAATCTTTACTGAGTATTTTGATAATTGAAACTTAACTTACTGAAAAAAAAATCAGCATGTTTCAAACTTTTAGCGCCATTATTTGTGTAAAAAATTGCATAATCATAACAGAAAAACAAACGACTTATATTTTAGAATATACGACCTTGCAAAAACGAATGACATAAAAAAATATATTGGAGGAAAATCTTTAAAGACAGCAAAGCTATTGTAGTCTCAGAGCAGAGGGAAAAAATAGTAATCCAAAACAACATTTGAGATTAATACTTTATTATGACAGATATGATGACACATACATTAAGAACTTTGGTTGTTATAGAAAGTCTTCTTTAGCTTTGTTGTACAAGATTCTATAGAAAACATCTAATTCCATTAATATCCAATTTTTACGTATATTCGATAATACAGACGAAGTATTTGTCACCAAACTGTTGAAATGAGAATCAAAAGATTAGCTAAATGAGCAAATAGAATTCCGTCCCCTTCTATTTGTATTGGACGACGACACACTTAAACTAATTCTACATTTTCCCATGAAATGCCAAAGTTTTATAGCCAATCATTTGAATTTTTAGCACTGTAAATGCTTTAAGTAAAATGTCGGATTTCACTCTTTTCGACAATAATTGTAGTAAAAACATTTTTTTTAAATTTCTACGGTGGAAGTTCAAAATTGTCTAGTCCAGATGGATAGAGTAATTTGTCAGCTTGGTATGGCCATAGAAAATCTATTATGATTAATCTAATTATTGAAGAATGGACAAAATCATTAAATAAACACAAAATTTGATAACCATATGTCATAATTCTTATTATAATGATGAGATTAATGACTTACATGTGATTAACTAATAAAGACCGACATTACACACAAAAAAAAAAAAAAAAAAAAAAAACACAAATAATGCGAGCTTTTATTTTCTTTTATTTTCATTCACTTATAAATATGTAAAAAAAATTCGCATCATAAACAATTGTCCAAAAGAGAAAAACTCTAGTTTACGATGTATATATCAAGTAGGGAGTGATGTCTGAGAAAATCTATATACACGAATGTCGTGTGAATTCTAATAATACATATTTAAAAGAGCTGTGTAACAGTTATAATAATAATAGAGAAAAAAAATTACAATGATATAGTTTTTACTTTTTATATATGCTGTGGTATCTTTCTTGTTCTTTTGCTTAGCAAGGTTAGAAAATAAATTAACAAAACACCCTTTTTATTCACGCAAAACTTGTAGCAATAGCAGCTTTTTGTTTTCTTTTTATTATTTTCCATTCGCACATATCAGTTTAGCTCTTGTAATAAATAAAGAAAAAAACAAGCTTTATTTTTGCAGTGTAACGAGAAATATTGCTGATGACAAGGATTTTTTACTAAACAACTACTTGCTAATAAATACATAGTTTTATACATTGCCATACCAACAACTAATTTTCTCATTCTTCTTTTAGCTTGTATACTGGTCAAGGTATTTTACAATTTTTGAAAGAAAATATCGTTTTTAGGGAGTAAAAATTATAACAGCGAACTTTGAAGCAACGTAAAAATTTTCAGTTGAGCAACATTTTCACAAATGTGTAAACAAGAATAAAAAAAGTATCATTCCTTTGGTTTTGCGGACCATATAACATAAACATTATCTACATCAACTATTTCGATATCTAGATTATCATAAAAAAAAAAATGAATCTTTTGATTTTTAAATTTTGATATTATATTTGAATCGATACATCTTGTCGGTTAAGACGTTAATTTAAGATAAATGAATACCTTTATGAACATTTTTTTTTTACAAAGGGTAAACGGAACTTTTTATGACGGATAAATGAAACCATATATGAAAATAAATTTTCCTACCATTAGAATAAATAGATATAAAGTTGTAGTTATGTCCTTGTATGAAATTACTATTATGCGAGGTTATTTTTTTTACTTCCAAATCACAACTAACGCAACTATATATCAAAACTGCTTACACTTATATCGTATGAATTAAAATTTAAAATAATTTGAAAAATAAACAATGAAAGAAGATACGAAAATTTGTTTTGATTTTTTTAAGATTTAATATTGTATTTTATCAGCAATATTATAATTGTTGTTTCTTTGTTAAAATATATAATTAAATATCAATCAACTAATGATATTTCTTTGAAAAATTAATTGTGAGAAATAAAAAAAGCATTTTTCAATAGCCAATCGTTTAACATCAGCCACGCCCCTAGTAGGAAATCGGTGTTTGTGATTGGTTTAAATCCGTGGTGGAAATCGGCAAGATCAAAAGACCAAATGATAAATATATACCTTAAGTGTTAGTTCGTAAACATGTGTAATTCATTCTTCGAAACACTTTACATTTCCGAGTGAAACATTTACTAACACGTTGAATAGAAACGGACTTCGATAAAATTGACAAATATCTATCCAATGCTAGATTCGATGCCTATGTGTGAATTTAAAGTTGAGCCGAAACTCGAAAATAAGATTTTGGATTTAGACAATTCCGCTGAAATGAAATCGAACCAGGTTAACTTGACCCATCTTTTAAATGCCGTGGATAGTGAAATGACCGTCGGGAGTGAGAAAGGAGACCCAACTGAAAGACAGTTAAATGTTAAACTTGAAGAGAAGGATCTATGGAGTAAATTTAAAGAATATACAAACGAAATGATAGTGACAAAAAATGGAAGGTAAATAATTGAACAGTTTATTTATACTTTTAATAAGAATCCCTTCATTGTTTAATTATGTTTGCTACTATGTTTCATGCTTATACGAAACATTAGGTTTTTTTTGTTTAACTTTCATTTTTGTGTAATTTTTTAAATAATAGGTAGTAAAATCCATGTGTTTGACAGATAACTCAAAATCTTTATAGTATGAATATGTCGTCGTAAAATTTTTGATTTAAAACATATTTTAACAGAAAATAATTTAAATGGAAATAATAAATTTGATTTTGCACGTGTTCGACAGTAAGAACATCAATATAATTATTCAGGTAGAGAACTGCGTGCACTGAACTCGTCCTTTTCATGTGTCCCAATGTTTTTATATTTATGGTGTCCTAAACAACTCCAAAACTTTTTTTAAGTTAAACTTGACGTTGCATAACGTATTTCTTCCATTCACAGATAAATATTTATTGGTCGATTTATTTTATTTATACTGCCATTTATTTCTGTAAATGAATGAAGCAAATAAAAATTTAATTTCATATGAGTGTATAAATCATTTGCGTCTAAAGGTCTAAAGGCACTTTGTTGTGCTTCCAATATTTTTTCTGTAATTAATTTTATTTATGATTATTTTTCAAAATTATTCTGTGCGATATCTTATGGCCTTTTTGTTAAATACTTTGGAAAAGTAAATAAACTCTTATGGTGTTAAAGGATCGTCGAGAACGTGTTAGACTTACTACACGTATGTGTCAAGTCACTTTAGTAAGACTTGTCGAAATTTCATCTGATACACAACAATTAATACTAAATTATTCAGACATATCACGCTTACTTGATTTTTTTGCTAGGTTTTCGTATTGCTCCCCTGGAAAAAAAATATACAAAGTATTTACTGTAATTTTGTGTATCATTGATAATTATTTAGAAAAAAGTATTTTATGAGAGATAAGTCAATTAGTAAAGAAAAATATCTCATTTAAGAAATTTTGAAAGAAATAAACAAATAGATGAATAAGTATAAGTACTTGTAGCTCCATCAGAGACATATGTATATGTCTCTGGCTTCATGCATTCAAAGTATCCCGTAACTTTTGCGAGCTTAATCATAAGACCATGAGCTCAATCCCATCGTATAAGAAATATATTGCCATTTTGTATCAATTTTGACAAAAAATACTAAGAATATTCAAGGCTCACTATATTCACTCTGTGAAAGTTTTTTTTCAAATTTACAGTTCTATATATATTAGATAACAAATATTGAATATTTTCACTGCATCTCAACCATTTCAGTTTATCAACTTATGCAGTTTTTTTTATTATTATATCAAAATATTTTAGAAATATTAGATATTCTAAAAAAAATGCTTGGTTATTGCAAAAATCCAATTTTGATGACACAATTTAAAGATAAGATTTAGTGAAAGATGAACCGATTTTTGTTAACAATTTTTTGAAAAACTTTACCGGCGATCAAGCCAGAAAATAAGGTGCAAATTCATTATTAAAAAAAAAGTTTCTAAAAATTAGATAGATACAATATTTCGGATTTAGTATTTATCTTAGCGTAAATATAAGAATTTTTATATATAATATTGCTTAGTTTTTTCTAGTGATGTCTAATTTTCCCTTGCTTCTTTTTGACAAATATACATACCCTTATTTGCAGGCGAATGTTCCCTGTGTTCAAAGTTAGTATTTCTGGATTAGACCCTAATGCCATGTACACAGTCTTACTGGACTTTGCCCAAGTAGATACTCACAGATGGAAGTACATCAATGGGGACTGGGTAGCAGGGGGAAAGGCAGAACCCGCCGCGCCCAACTGTGTCTATATACATCCTGATTCCCCAAACTTTGGGGCCCATTGGATGAAGGAACCAGTTTCTTTCAGCAAAGTAAAACTGACAAACAAATTGAATGGAGGTGGACAGGTAAGCAGATACATTATTTAGGATATAAAACATAAATAATCTTCCATTAGAATGTTTACCTATGGTGCATCATGCATGGCTTTATATCACAACCATTATGTCGGACAGTTGTAAATGAATGATAAAAAAAAAGATAAGCATTTCTAACATATGTTCTTATGTTGTGCTGCTACACCACTGTTCCAGGTTAGGGGGAGGGTTGAGCGCTCACAACAATGTTTAACCCCGCCACATTCTTTATGTACCTGTTCCAAGTCAGGAGCCTGTAGTTCAGTGGTTGTCGTTGGTTCATGTCTGTCATATTTGTTTTTCATAAACTGTTTTGTTATAAATTAGGCCGTTAGTTTTCTCAATTGAATTGATTCATATTTTTCATGTCGGGGCCTTTTAAAGCCGACTATACAGTATGGGGTTTATTCATTGTTGAAGGCCGTACGGTTGCCTATAGTTGCTTACATCCACTTCATTCAGTTGAACTTTGGTGGATAGTTGTCTCATTGGCAATCATACCACATCTCCTCATTTATATATATATATAAATATATATATATATATATATATATATATATATAGGTTTTCTGGACAGAGTATTATCACCGTCAAATAGTATAAAGCCAAGACTATAGCTAAGCTAGTCAGATCGCCAGGTATACAAAAGACTTCCATAGTCTCAAATTAAACATATCTTTAATTCACCTCGAAAATTCATAAGATATTTTCCTTAGTATTCTCTATAAGTATGAGCATTCATGTTTTTGTTCTAAAAAAAAGTCTATTTCTGTACTTTATTTAGCTCATTTCATTGGGGATATCTAATGTATCTAAATATAATGTCGAACTATATGGTTTGAACTGTAGTATGAATCAAAGGAAATGTGGAGAATACGTCAATGAACTAGCAGCAAATGCCAAGACAAAAACACTGACCAAAGGACACCTATATATAGTGGGACCTTACTTTTTACAAAGTTTCAAGAAAGTATTTTACTATACTGAAATTGTTTAACTATAGTTCTGCCTCCATTTGAAAGAGGATATCTCAAATACCCTCCATTGTAAACATCAAATTCAAACCCTTTTAAGGTAACAGATTGATTTCACAACTGCGTTTCAAAGACAATTCATTAGACAAATTTATATTTCAACATCCTCACAATAAGGAATATTTAGGTGACATTAATTTTTTTCAGTTAAAAGAATTTTTTTTTATAACTTTGTTTTCTACTTTTAAAATTGACTATAGTTCTACCTCCAGTGAGTAAATGATATAAAATTTAAATTTTGATTCAAAGTTAAATATCCCCCATTAATTTTTTATTGTTTCTGAAGAGGATATTTAACATCTCCAAAACGAGATAATAATATAAACACTTTATAGCTGTGTGTAAGATTCCCTTTTGATGTCTTTAATTGTTTTTGATGTTTGTATTTAATTTCTTGACAATTTCTTTCTCGATTTCACAATAAAAATTCTCTGTTAAATCGGGGAATGAAAATTTTAGAGAATAAAGACAGAATAGATTTCCCTCCATTGTAAACTTGGGATCATGAACATGTCTGAGTCCAAATATCCGCTGTTTCTCTCTTTTTGTTTTTTGTTTTTGTTAATTTTTTTTAAATTCTTATCATGGTATATATAAGTTCTGTCATATGTCCAACTATTTTTTTTTAATCTTAAATTGCAATAAAAAATCAACCGATCTTCCAGTAATTTTCCCTTAATTTTTCGATTATCCATTAACGAAATAGAATGTGTTTGAAGTTTGATTCGACCAGAACGTATTTTAGTCGACACAATTTAGTAAAAGGGGTAACCCGAATAATTCAGTCGTTATATTCCACTGCTCTACGATGGCTACATTAACGCGAGTGGAAGAGTCGATCACGGGGAGGGACTGAATTATTCGGGTTATAAAAGGGGTTAATAGTATATTGTCAGAATGTAAAAGAGGAGAAACTGTATGAATAGATAATCATCACACTTAACAGAGCGAGAATTAAAAGATCAACAAATATATACGCTGAGTTATGGACTTGTTTAGAAGATGAAATTATAAATACAATGTCGACCTCAAGGTGTCTTTTGTTTTGTTTTTTGCTGTTGTTGTTGGAAGCCTGTTTCAGACACTGGCTTATGCTCCACATTTTCTTACATATCAAAACTCACAGCCTCACAAGACCAAGAACCTGCAGACAAAAAAGTCCCTGTGTAAATCTTTTTTTTTAACACTAAAATCTCTTTTGAACCATTCCGACTGAACGTAATTGCCGGTATTTTTGTTCATCCCACACGGGATGCCAAACGGACGCCCAGATTTCGCAAGGGTTTAAATGCCTGAAGGAAAAGTCCAGGGGTAACCATATTTCTATACCTCAGTAAACTGTTGGGTTTATACAATTTTGATAATGCAACATGGTTCTGTTGAGGCTTATATGCAGACACAGTTTATGTGAAATTGAATATTAAACCAAGCGTTGCCATGAAGTGCTCTTCACGGTTGTTTGTATCTATATTTTTACCAACCCAGGAAAATAATGACGTTTTGTGGTCCGTTGAATGTTTTCAGAATTAGATTTATCATAATAAAAACATGAACCACATACAAATCACTGATGGTATCATTTAATCCTTGATTAGTATTAAATATTGTAGTCTTTATAGTGCATGCTTCTGTGAGTAAGATCTGTTATCAGAATAAAATCTTCAAAAAGTAAAAATGTAATTTTCGTCAAAGATCAGTTATCTTATGAAATTAAACTTTTATTGAGATTAAAATTTAAAGATTACAACAAAATGTTAGTGGGAGGGGGAAATGTTTATTATGGCGACCCTCCCGTATCGGATGTATACCGGTTTCTACGAGTCGTGCAATTATCATGGGATAGAAGTTCATTTATAGTATTAATTCAAATGAAAAAAACATTCTTAAATATTATTTCCACTTGGAGAAATATTTTAGATCCTCTTCGAATTTGTATGAATGTTTCCCCTCCACTTCTAAAATATTTTCCTCGAGATATAGCTATTTTGAGCTGATGCGACATAAAGCAACAATAAATTAATCTAAAATATGCAAATGATTTACATTAACAGATAATGTTGAATTCCTTACACAAGTACGAACCAAGACTTCACATAGTTAAAGTTACAAACAATCAGAAAAAGAAGATCAGTAGCTTTAATTTCCCGGAGACACAGTTTATCGCCGTCACTGCCTACCAAAATGAAGAGGTGAGTTTTTATTACTTGTATATATATTTTTGGCTAAATAGCTGAGGTCACTGCAACTGCTTTTTTAAATAAAGAGACGTGTTGTTACTGAATTTTACTGAGACAGATACATCCGTTAATGCCTATTAAATTTCAAAGTAGTTTTACTGTAATTTTTGCTTACACGATCTATTGTCATTACTGCCTATATATAAATAAAGATATACTTTTCAAAAGAAAGGTCGACATGTTCTATCGTCTACAACGTAAGAATATTTTACTTGTATTGTAAGTCGGATAAGGCTTAAAAACGTTCACTTGAAATTGTACTGAGATGTGTAGCATATACAATGTCCTTCTGCCATCTTTTTCATGAAAATAAGACTTTTTTTTCAATTTATTAAAAATATGTTATCATCTGATACATGATTATAATATCTACAAATGGAACACAAAGTTTGTTATGCTTTTCTTCCTGAGCACCGCTCTACCCCATTTACTTATTTCATGTTGCGTTAGATTCCTGTGTCTCATGCAGGTGTCAGTTTTCTGTGGACAGTGCTTTGACGGTTTTTTGTTTTGTTTTTATGTTGATTTTTTTAGTGGGGGAGTCTATTTTCGTCTGTTTTTCTTTTGGTCATAGCGTTGTCTCATTTTCCGTTAAATAATTTGTATTGCACCCTCGGTATAATGGCCTAACTCAGTTTTCAATTTACGCCATTGATTATTCCATACATTTCTGAATGTGTCAAAAATAATTATAAGTAATATTGTCCATCCGGTATAGTGTTTTTGTCATATACTTTAATGTCGGTTTATAAATCTGCGAAACCAGATTTGTTTTAACATTTGACCTTAGACAGTATAAACCCTTTGTGAACTTATACATGCGATGTCTGTTTGTATTTCTATCAGAGTGCAAAAAAAACTGACATTTTTCATGTATATCCAATTATTTCTCAAACAAGTAAAAATTAAAAAGTACGTTCCATTCTAATCATCAAATTGACACGAACTCTTCAAAGAAAAGATTTGTACCTACTTATGAAAGTTTGAAGAAATCAAATAGTCATTTAATATGCAATTTAATAGTTATTTAATTTTGTGAAGCATTATATAAGGTAATTGGTTATATGTTTCAACACAAACATTTAAGATAAAGAACATAGGATTTGCACAGCTCTTTAGTTTTTGTCACATCTTTGTGAAAGTCGATACTACCTCAACTACGTCTCACAAAAACTTAATGGATTCTGAATATATTTGTATAGTGTTTAATAATCAAAAGTCCGATTCAAAACAGTTAGTTTTCGTGGGAAAGTCCATCTTAATGGTTCATTTTGGACTACGTAAGGATTTCTATAATTTGATCGCCTGTAAATGAAGTTCCAAATTTAACGCCTGTCCCTTCCCGTTTCAGGCCTAGAGATATATTTCACAGATATTTTCAATTGATGAACCGCTTCGGTTTCACACTCAATTTTTGTGGTTTGTCAAAAGTCATGGGAATAAAAACACGATATATAGAAAACATATATAGTTTATATAATTATTTTAAAAAAATGCTATACAAGTCTAAAATAAATTGTCATATTTGTAAAATACAATCAAATCCAAAAGCTGCGGTGCATTTTTCATGATTTTGATTGTTTTCAAAATATAAACTTTCTTTAAAAACTCTGTTTTTTTCAGTGGAAATAACTGTTTTCTAGTTCAGACTCAGAAAATGACACCATTATTGTTTGTTAAATGTATATCATTAAAATATGAATCAAATACGTTTAAACTCGTGTGCATAAATCCGTATACGAAAAAAATAAATAGATTTTTAAATGTTTAAATATTTACAATTTGTTATATTTTCTATCTTTGCAGATCACAGCACTCAAAATTAAGCATAACCCGTTTGCAAAAGCTTTCCTGGACGCTAAAGAAAGGTAAGAAGGCGCCCAGATTATTCTTATTGTCTCTCCTTGACAAACACTGTCCGTTGTTCCAGACAAGAGTAAGAGATGTTATATATTTGAGTTAAAGACTTCAAAGAAGGGAAATGAAAATAAATTAACGTTTTCCAACTTGAATTTGATATGGTTCTCTCGAAATTGAATAATTTTTATATTGTTTCAAACAACAGTGGTATATTTTTAAGTGGTAGGAGTGTTTCTTGTGTGGTTTATATGAAAAGTTGTACAAACGGTGCACTGGATTGGTATAAAGTCTTTATGTATTGTTTGAATTGATAACTTGTGTCAACGTATCAGTAAATATTGAAGTGATTTATCATTTCATACCAAAATGCAAACGTATTTTTTATTCTGTTGAATTGCAAATGTCAAAGATATAAGGTATATCATTCTAACTTGGGAAAAAAATATGAATTTAATTTTGAAAAAAATACATGAATTGATTACTAGTTGTTTAATATTATTAATATCTAATGTAGTACGGGTATGTAATGATATTAACTAGATATGAAATTGTCGCACGGTTGGTAAAACGTGAGCTATATCTGCCATGATTTAAAAAAAAAGTCATCTGTGAATGACAATCCAGCTAACGTTGCCTTTTTGTATTACAGACCTGATCAGAAAGATTTTGTAGACGATGTTATAGACGGTCAACGATCTCTGTCTCACTGTAAGTTTAATCTAAATTCAAATATATTTGTCAATGTGGATGGGATCTCCTTTTGCCACTTATTTTTTTATCATTTTCAGCTGCAACACTGTATCAATATCGTTACGGCATAATTATGCTTTCGTTAGATCTCTGAAACGGATTGATGTAAGCACATACTTATATGCATTTATTACCCACATTAAGGTACACAATGTGACTGCACATTATACATTTTTTTTTCTTTTATTTATTAAACAATTGAAGCATTGCATTGCTGAAGAATTGATATTTGTTAATTAGTGTAGATGACAAATAAGTAATTCTTGTGTCGCTTTCCATTTTATCTTTTTATTTTATGTAATTCTATGTAAAAATCATAAAAACGCCAACGTAAAGTTTAAGTAATCAATTTGAAAATTTAACAAAGTTTTACACAGGTGTTCAATATGATTCCTTGGAGAAATCTTAGTGATTGTTTTTATTTCCAGGCCTTTTACAATTCCCATTCATACACGTAGTTTGACATTTCAAAGGCATAATCAGTAAAAGTTGTCTTAAGAATAATTTTTCACAGACTTATCAATTGAGTTAAAAAGATTTAAAATGAAGTATTGGATATTAAAGTGATAGTTTTCGTTCAATCAATCTGAACTTGGTTGAATTTGTCACGTAATTGTGAAAGACATGTGATAAGTAGCCAGATAATTATCAATAAATTATTAATGGTAAATAAAATGACAGAATTCCATGGATTACTAGACAAAACATCAATACCAAAACATAGCATTCTTGTCGTGCTACGAATTAAGATACGTTAACTTTTTATACAATAGCTACATGTAAACAATGATAGTCTGACATATTTTCCTTCAGTTTTGAACCAAAGCATACCGAAGAATTTTGTTAGGAAAACACATCTTTACAATGCTAATATTTGGTATCACTTACTTTACAAATCCTTGGTATCAGAGACATTTACCTATACATGTCTCTGCTAGTATACATGGACGATAATACAAGCAACAAAAATGTTAACGTTTTTTTGGAAATTTATTATAGCAACATAAAAAAATAGAAATGGGTAATGTTTTTTCTTATTTCTAATAAGAAGGGCATTTGAAATGACAAAGAAAGGTAAGATGAAAATGCTCTAGAATTGTATTCATATAAATAAATGCATCACATATCTCAGTATGGTACCAATCATGGCATTCTCTCATCTCCGCTCTTAGTGGCATACACATGTTGTCGGATATATTGTGTATAGGTTGTTATATGCTGTATATAGTTCTGGTTGTAAAAACCAGAAGCTACAATACTTCTCCTTGACGATGTCCTCCGTAATGTCACCATGAAGTAGTTCGAGTACCCTTAATACCACTTAGGTACTGATTCACCTTCAAAGTCACCGACTTCTAGATAAACATTAGATCAATGTTTGACACTACTATTTATAACAAACAGATAAACACTGATATGTGACTAAATAAACAATTAAGCAAATTTATATTAAATATTTAAAATCATCTTTTGCTTGTTTTCAATAAATACTTATTCTATTTTGTTATAATTCGCCGTCACTTCCCATTATTTCATTTTGTTTGTTTCACGGTAGATATACTCAAAAGATCGTATCTATCCTTTACAAAATGTTTATTGAGTATTGTTTAAATTTACGACAAAATAACAAGAAAGCGATAATGTAAATACAAACAAAATTATAGTTTCCGAAACTACATTCGTTTCTCCTCCTGGCAACATTTCAAAATTAATTTACAAATAAAATTTTCAGATTTACAAGATAATTTTGGTAATTATACATTTTAAATTTACATCGATAAAGAAGTATTTGTATGCACATTTAACGGATAAAATAATTATATACAAAGAGAAAAAGAAAACTGTTTTCTAACACAAGTTTTACATTCAAGACAAAATCATATTCTTGCAACTAATATATATTTTTTCTTGCAACATATATATTAAAAAATGTATAGGAATAACCACATTACAATAAAAATTGAATGTTAACTACAAATAAGTACATTATAAACATGATAGACTCTTTATTGCATTAAATTATTCCCATATTTCTATTGATAACAAATTTTTGATGAAAAAAAATTTAACTTGAAAAAGCCAGGATAAATTACGTTTATAATTCATTATAAAAAATCGTATCTCATTAGATATTTTGTAAAGAATTCACCCTCCGTAGCAAATAAACGTCAAACCAAAATGTCAATCTATTTTTGTACTAATTACAATAAAATAAACTTTGATTAAACAAGTTAAATTGACACCTGCAAAATTTATTAAGTAAATACGCAATTTTCTCTATTTCATATTTGTAGAGTCAACGCCCGTGTAATGTCCAATTACAATTCAGATTTTATCAGAAAAAGCAACATGATTATAAATATATCTGTATACTATATCTGAATAAGACCACCCTTCCACAGTTTTTTACGGGTGGTTGATATTCAATTACTTTATAACCGTTAAATTCTGTCATCACCTCATTTCTCCTACATTCACAATGGCGACCGCCTACGTCGATATCGACACATCTTAATTTTATTCTACTCTCCGACTCATGATCGTAACAAAATATGATTTTGTATGATATACAGTTTTGATATTGATATCCCTAATTTGCTGCAAAAATATTTAATTTGGCGTCTTCAATACAAAATGGGATGATTTTCATATCGGTTGATCTGATGATACACCCTCCTCAATTGCTTTATAAAAGAGGCATTTAACCTTTCATCAGGTCACTTACGTTGCTTTGATGAAAAAGTAATTATCACTTAAAAGTACAAAAGGATGAGCTAAGCTATGCCATTCCTTTGTCATAATTCACCTTTGAAGACTAGTATCGTCAGGTTAATATATATATACATACATTTAGGGAAAATAGTCGCATTATATGTATATAATGCGACTTATTTCCCTAAATGTTACGAGTGAGAATAGTCATAAGTCAAGAACATTTTAAGGTATAACTTGTGATTATTTTTAATCGTAAGAATTTTTGTGAATAAAGCTGCAGTTCTTTTAAAAGCGGACGTCTAGGAAGACACCCAGCTTTGATTTCGTTTTTGTTTCCCAACAACAGAGCTTTGAAGATGCTGGTATTTGAAATGTTCTAAAAAGCTAAAATCTCAACAATTAAAAAAAATAATGTATTTAAGACTTTGAAAAGTTCTGATTCAAACATGTTTTTTTTTTTATTTTTCAGTAGCTGGAGCTTGGTATTTACCACCAGGGGGACATGGTTTGGTTCCACCTCCAGCCCACCAATTCACTAATGCCTTAAACTTGTCCAATACCCACTGTGACAGACTGAGTCTGAGGAACACACGGACATATCATCCTTACCAAAGACGATCTCCACCTCATGGTATGTATTTTATCATTTTTTGGGATCCTGTAAAAAAGTTCTTTTGTAAGAAAAATGCCTTTAATTTAATCAAATGTTATTTTCGATTTAAAAATAAAGACTTCAGAATTTGATTGAAGGAAATAATAATATCACTACAAATGATACCAGAATAAAGAGAGAATGATATAAGAATAAAGAGACAATAATATCAGAATGAATATAGAATAATAAATATATATATATAGTAAAAAGGTTTAGACTTTCGTATTATAGAGAGAATATATATATATATAGTTAAAAGGTTTAGACTTTCGTATCATAGAGAAAATATATATATAGTTAAAAGGTTCAGACTTTCGTATTGTAGAGAGAATAGCAATTATCAATTCAAACAAAATGCTTAACATCAGAATTAGCAAATCCAGGCATTGATACATACAATACACATTTCAATTTATTTTAAAACTTACTGCAACTGCTCTGTGTAACTGTAACCTCTCTCCCTTGTTTTGTATATATATTGTAAATATTTGTTGTTGTTATATCTGTACTGATGTCATGCATTGGCTTTATGAGAAGAAAGACATATAACAGTTTTTTTAATCATTGAAATTTGTTCCCATGAAGTTGATTATTTAATTTTAACATTAAATATATGTGGTCAGAAATGACAACCTTATTAGCACTCCTGTCAGACATTATAGTCGTGAAAGTAATAAAGTAACATCTTATGTCGCCTACTTAATACTATTTTAACGCTAATTGCCTAATAAGGAGATGAATCCCTGTTTCGACTGGTCACTGTAGATCATATCGCTTGGAACCCCTTGTAATGAAGACATGTATCACTGTCTGATCTGGTCACTTTAGATCTTATCGCGTTGACCATTTTTGTACTTATAGAGTAGTTAAACATGCAAAACAAACGACCGAACATGTAGTAAATAGAGATGTCCCCAACGGACTTAAGCGTGCGGTAAATTTAAAACAATTAACACGCCATAACAATAGATTTTATTGCTTTCTTGGCGTATATGAGATTCCAATAAATGAGACATGAAAAGAATCATATTAAATATGTCTATGGGATCTAAAGTCTTATTATTTTTATGTGTTTTGAAATACTTTTCTAGTTTTCACCTAAGTGTTATTTCGTCCGTTCTATTGTGGAAGTTTATTTGTATTTAGTCGTCCCTCAAGATTTTCAAAATACTACAAAACAGGTTTTGTGTGGGACGGTATCTTTGATAACAATTTTTAATTCGCCATGAATTTGTCAATTAGCCTAGACAAAAACTATTACAACTTTAGTTCGACCTTTGTTAAATATTTTAAGATATGTCATGGGATTTTTATTACATTTTCTTATTAAGAAATAAATGTTTAGTTTTAAATCATTTCACGGTCTATGGAAATTATTCCAATCCTTATTTACTTGAGTTAAACGATTCTTTCGCCTGTAATATCCGATTTTAAACATTCGAATAATAAAGGTATTTAGTTGGTTTAGACACAATTATGTGAGAAAATTTCTGTTCGACGGTCAAGAAAAGGGTATCATCATTATTTACCAAAATAGAGACCATTTCTGTAATATTTCAATCAATAATTAATCAATTAATAGAAAAAAAAAATAGAATTGCATTATAGAGAATGAAAACAACTATCAATTTATGTAAATATTATAAAATTCATAAATAAAAACACATTTTTTACTAACTAGGGAAAAGCATCAAGATTTGATAGATAACAATTAATTATATCCAAATATTACAGTTTCGTATCATGAAAATGTAAATTCCTATCAATATGAATGCATAACCGGATATTTGCATATTAATTGTTCTGACAAAACAGGAAATATAATGCTAGTCTCTCAATTAATTAAAATTTTCAACATAAAACTTAACAGTCCGTTTATTTATCATGTTATCTAACCTTTTACTTTTCATTACAATAAAACTTTATTTTCCATTGTTATGTTTCTAATCAAGTTTGTAACTCTAAATGTAAATATTTCATTATTTTTATTACTAGTATTTGATACACCGAGAGACCTCAATAATACAACGCTTCCGTTCATTCTCTAAAGTACCAGAATTTTTAAGGATAATGACTCCTTTAGTAGTCATTTTACAACACATTAATAGTAATTTTCACTTTGTTTTCCACCGAAAAGTGTGAACTCTTAAAATAAACACATCTAGATCCCAAAAATGTTACACACCATTTGATCCCTATTCTATCCTTATCTTATGCAATCAAAACGATAAAATGTTGACCTCGGAAAGAAAGTGCGGCAACAGTATTGGATTTGCATCAGTTTGAATGGGAGAAAACCTTTGCAGACCTTTCTAATCGGTCGTCTCAATTTCAATTAAGCTATATGCTGAAATATAGCTGAACATTCGAAATTAAAATCCAAAACAGGGTGGGGATTTGGAGGGTCATTGAATAAGGAATATCACATTAACAACTTGTTCAATAATTTATTTTTCTATTTTCAGCCTTTTCTAGAGATGTTAGTCCAAATATACCAATGCTGAACATGGACAGCTGGCCACATATGGCAACATCTTCTCACAACGTCCTTTCCTCTAATACCTCACCACAGTCACAATACGGAATGTGGATGAGTGGTCACATGAGTAACATTTCAACAAATCAGAGCTGTTCTGTACCATATCTGCGATCGAACCCGTCGTATCCATCACTAGGAGTAGGACCAAGTGTTCCGAATGTAACTGTATCATCTTGTAGTGTTCCGAACTCTATTTCCTCTCAGTCACCTCTGTCCCCATTTGAGTCTTGTGAACTGTCTTTTTCCTCACCCATGAGAGACTCTTTACGGAACAATGCCTGGAGTCCACTGACGCCGCCACCTATGTAAAATATTGAACCAATTTAATATGTGATGCTAGTATTACAATATTACGAGCAAAATATCATGTTTCATATGTTTTATGAAATGTATGATTAAATACGGGCAATTAGATGCCAAGTTTGTTAGACTAACGAATGAGAGAGTATTACGGTTATAAATGTTTTTAAGAAATGCATGATTATTGGCAAGTATAGATGCCATTTTGGTTAGAGTTTTGAATGAGATATTTGTGAATGATATGAGTCGGGGTATTGAAAATGAATGCGTGAGATCTGCGAAAATGAGAAAGGGTAAGTGAATACGAGTTAAAGAATGATTTGTGTGTTTGGTTCATAAAAGATGTAACAAAAGATGTATTTAAGTATTAACTGAAAATCTGTTGTTTGGTACGCATGTTTCTATTACTAATGGCCATTGAGAGTTGTTGGTACTGTTCTACTAAGATGTACACAGAAAGTTCACTTGTTTCACAATTGTCTCAAAATTCCTTTCATTCTGTATGCTCATGCAATATCAATGATGCCATTAAAATATAGGTTTTATGAACAGCCAGGCTAATTCCACAACTAATGGTAGTACAAATAGTCCATTTATTTCCAAAAGAACCAGAAGCGCTTTATCCTATTTTGTTTTATAACTTCCAAAATCCAACAAGAATTTACTAGTGACAAGTTGCTTAAGTTTAATTTAAGGATATCTAGATACAGTGCAGTATAATAATCTATGGTTAGCAGTGATTAAAAGGAAACAAATTAAATGTATGAGTGAATTTGACAAGAATCGTTTGAACAGGTGTTGAAAGTAAATAGATCAGCGGAATCTACAGGTAGATGTTGGCAAAAACAGTATACACAAATCTTGGATCCTTTCACAAGTTTTCAATGAACACCTATTTATTAATTTCTTGTACTCGTCAGATACCCAGTAAATCACTTGATAACGGTCAATACAGTCTTTATTACTGCCCATTGCTGGCAATACCCTGTTAGAAAAGGTGAAACTTTTTAGATAACCTATAATTTATGTGATTTCTGAATTTAAATTATTTCACTAAATCTGTAATACAAAATGAGAAGCAGATCAAAGATTACCAGGCTTATGCCAATTGACTTTTTTTCTAAAGACCTCCACACATTTTAGTGGGAGTCTGTTCAGGTGACAGTAGAATATAGAGAGGTGAACAAGCTGCTTAAACACATAAATTTTGTTTCCACATTTATATTTACTTTGACAATATTGAGAGATCCCATTTTTATCTAGTATCTATAAGAACTATATATCTAGGTCAATGTATGTGATGCTTTTGTTATCACACAGTCACAAAGTATTCAAATCGCTATTTCCATATCAACAAATAATTTCAGAATTGATAGTATCAAAATAATTAGAAAATGTAAAAAGGGTACTTTATATTAATAATCATAAAATATTGAGGTCTGTTATCCAAAAACGAGCATTAACAATATCCGATATCCAGAGGAAAAAAATTAGCGTAAAGGATCACCCCTCAGGTTGGACATTTTTCTTCAAGTTATATCTGAATAATCCTCGATGAACCGAAAGGACTAGGGAACACTATTTATTTGGCGTTAGAAGAAAAATGCTATCGTCCTGGTTACATTTCAGATGTAAGAGTGCTGTCTGTATATATAAAATGATAAATGTATTATATTGTATAAGGTTATATAAATACTGAATATATAGAGTGAATAGTGAGAGATATAAGGTGCTATTACTGTTATTGTATACATGGGTAATTATCATTTAAGTGAACATGTCAAGTGTATTTTTGAAACAGTTTACAAAAAGTCAAAAAGGCAATAAAAATTTAAAAGCTAATATCGTTTTAATTGTTATTTTATGAAAGTTCATCAGTGGGACAAAGTGTAGGTGTAGGTTGAGTCAGTTGAATGATTTATTCCGAGCATTGGTCATCGATAATTAATGGCCACCATTGCGTGACATCCGACTTGTAATCTGATAAAACTCTGCCGTTCATGTAACTTTGCCTAATTATAGTAACGGTGAGCATACGGTATATGATATACCATGTGGAAGATTACGAACACACTATACGGATAGACGTTTACAACACGACACTCGAAAACTGGGAGAAGAAAGTCACACATTTACCCCGCTCGCTAACCCGAGTCGTTATATTCCACTGCTCTACGATGGCTACATTAACCTCGCGAGTGGGAGAGTCGATCACGGGGAGGCTCTCCCGGTTATGTTTTATTTTAATATGAGAAACTCAGATTATTTTTTTTGTACAAAAAAAAATAATGCAATATTTTCTATATGTTCCATTTCAATCCAGTCTCTAATTTTAGAGACTTTGAATACAAAAAAAGGGTCAAAAGATACCAGCCAAAGGGATGTTCAAACTCATTAGTCAAAAACAAACTGACAATGCCATGGCAAAAAAATAAAAACGATCAACAGACAAACAACAGTATACAAAATACAACATAGAAAACCATGGACTGAGCAACACGAACCCCACCAAACGGGGGAACAGACTGACACAACCATCAATATGCACATTGATCAGCTATTTAAAAGAGAGTGTATAAAAATAATATAAAACAGAAAAAAATTAAAAGCTTTAATGCGACCTAATTCAGTATACTTAGTGTGTTGCTCCTCGAAAGGCACTGAAATTCGGCGAGAAGTTTTGTATTCATATGAATAATAGGAGATGCGGTAATACGTCATTGAGACAGTAACACATATTTCTTCAAATAGATAGAACTTGTATGTAGAGTACTCTAAAAACTCAATACAGTGCATTTGACCGTGCTATCCTTATTCCAAAGATCAAAATTTACAAGATGACAAAGAATTCCAATAAACATGTACAAATTCTGGTTGATTAAAAGTTTTTTACTTGCAGATTTATACTATATTGGCCAATGTCTTTCCTGGTGCCAATAATGAAAGACCTTATTATGATGCCACAAATTTCTTTAAACATCACCTGACTTTATAAGAAGTTCAGTACTAATTTATTTCTCTATAAGCTTCAAGTTTTTTTTGTTGAGTTTCAAGTACATGTAGGTTAACAGTTAAAAGGTGCCGATTTTTTCCAACAAGTAAGAAATAAGTATGATTTCATAAGGTTTCTAGTGGAGGAAGTATTTCCAGACCCAGAATAAATATACAAAGTTTCTTTTTGTGAAGTTATTTCTAAAGTTTTTACAATAAAACAGACACCACAATGTAGCAACTCACAAATACGACAACACGATCTATCATTTTAGAAATATAATGATATGGTTGTTTTACTTAACGTACATAACAGATGTAGGTCTATGATCCTTTGATCCCTTTCAGTGAGGTCTTCTTTCAGGTCCGAAATTAAATGTCAAGGGTTATAATTTGCTTGTACTCAGCACTTGTAGCCTGACTTGGATGTAAAGGCTTTTTAATACTTTGACTTAAATATCAAATAATTGAAGTATCAATAGAATTTTGTACAATTTTTAATTTTTCACGACTGTCCTTTAATTTTCGCGACTTCCATTGAAATTCGTTCTTGAAGTTCGTCTCAAGTTGAACAAAACAGTTTATCAATATTTGAATAGGCGTGGCGTATAACTCTTCGGATTCTATCACGTATATACAATCACTAGAAACTAAAACACGAGTAAACAGCTGATACCACAAAAGGCTTTTGTTAAACTTCACCAAAAAATGGAAACACGAGAATTGTGAAATTGTCAGTATTTAAATGTAATAGTATTACACATTTTAATAAAGATAAAAGATTATCAAGCATTCCGAAAAAAAAAATCGACCAGAAAATTAATGGAGTATATAACCTAGCAATCCATGTGAGGCTATACTGTCAATCTAACTTATATATTAACTGTAAAATCAAGGAACCAAAATCAAACTAACAAAATGCACCAGTATAACCAGTTTGAATATTACGAATTTGCATTGAATATTCCGGGTATCGTGATCACAAAACAGTAACACAGGAAAACAGGGGAGGTCAATTTATGCATGAGTGAAAATCTGATAATTCGTAGTACAAACACACATAAAGTATTGCCTTTAGAAAGGGGACCTAAATTTTTGTGCCTCATTCAGTTTTGTTAGTGTCGTTTTATCAGGTCTGCAGCGTATGTATTAGGTTTTGGACTTCAAAATATTTTGAACTCGCGCATCACTGAAGATACACTAATTGTTGAAATGCGCATCCAGTGCAATATAATTGGCACCATTAACTCTTTTTTATACTACATTCTTTTACTCAGCAATATCGGAATACTGAGGTTAATTTTATGGTTTTTATCTATATTTTATATGTATAGTAACACAGACATGTAAACCATCTTTAGGGGCACAGCTAATAGATATGGCGAAATTGTAACATGCCCGTTCAAAAGAAACCTCTAAAAAGATTTCTAAAAGTTGCATTTTTCATACGTTATTCAGGTCAAGATCATTCTGAAAGTTGCACTCTATGGAACTTTTTTTATGGTAAGTCTGGGGTGGTCTTCAATATACTAAACTAAAGAATTTAAAACCGGGAAGGTATATCAATGTTATGAATCGATTTACGGTGTTGAAAACGACGATACTTCAGTAGAATAAAACACTTGAATCAACACTGTGAATAAACATCTATGTTTATGTAAGTGGATTATTGTACCTATACAAGAATGGCTGTTATTTATTGGTTAAACAAAATGACAATGGGCCAACAATTCAATTAGCAAAAGAAAATGCTATGTTTTACATGTTTTGTGGTTTCTTACAAAGCGTTTGGTCTTCAGCGGCACTTTATAGTTAAAATGGTTGTTTGACTTAGATATGAGCACAGTCACGGCTTAGTAATCAAACAGCAGAGAATATTTTGTGACGTTAGTTCAGAGAGCAAAGGAATTTTAAAAACTTAAAATTTGTTTTCCTAAAATCTAAATAAGTAAACAGTAACTTTTCTTAAGAGAAATAAATATATTTTGACAGATTAAAGACCACTTCACAAGAATTAGAAGCGACTTCCACAACAAGTAAAAACTTTTTGTGGCTTTAGTTTATTCAAATATTGTTATTCCCATCAAGAAAAATTGATTAAAAGTTGATAATAATTTGTACAAAATCACTTTGATCTTCGCACATATTGAATTAGCTGTCAAAATTAATCAGGGTTATAAATACATAATTCTAAATGAGCACATCTCCATTTCATTTTTAATAAAGAGAGTGGATGATTTTTCTTCTCTTGACTTTCATTGTATAAATAAACTATGCCTTTTGAGTTAGCCATTTCAAAGACACCATTAACTAGATGCTCCAAAGAGCCAGAATTTCTCACGGGTTGATCTAATAATCCTATAGATGGAATTTGAGCACCAATAAATTGGAGCTATGTTCTTATCGGATGAAAATATAAGATACGATGCCTTTTATGATAATCCAGATTTTTGGTTGGTTTAAAAATATTTTTTAACGCATTATCCTAAACATTCCATCCAAAACTTTGATCCACGGTGGTAGACATATACTAGAATTGGATGCTGGGGGAGGTAAAAATTAAAAATCAAAAATTAACAAAATAGGTCACAGCTATCATCTTAATCGGTTTAAGGAAAGGGTTACTTGACTTAAGTCAAAGAAGTCGTGTTACATATATTGCGAACATTAATAGGTGTCATATTAAATCTCAAAACTTTGAAAAAGACCTTATTGTTGTATTCAAAGACAATGGAGATAGAAAGCATGTACTTTTGGTTTCGTGTCTAGGTAAAATAATTACTTGGTCATAAACTATACATATAGTTTCAAGTATGATGAATTAAAAAGAAAAGATTTTAAGAAATCTTGAATTTGGGAATTTACGGGAAAACCTTCCAACAAAGTTTATTCAGTCTTCGCATGTATGAAGCAGGTTTTATCATTCGTAAAGGCCCGTTCACTATCAAAGTTTTCTTGTACAAGTTATCTTGGTCAAAGTTAAGTTTTTGATGGATTTTTGTATACAACCGTCAAAGAAAACTGTCGTCAAACTTTCAAACTTTCAAAAAGTTTGACGGACTTGTATGGAATAAAATCTGATTCTTTTTTTTCTTGAAACTTGGATGGATTAAGATGGATTATTGTCAATATAATGGAATTTTTTGCGACTGTCCTACAAGTGAGAGGTTTAGCTAGCTATAAAACCAGGTTTAATCCACCATTTTCTACATAAGGAAATGCCTGTACCAAGTCAGGAATATGACAGTTGTTTTCCATTTGTTTGATGTGTTTGAGCTTTTGATTTTGCAATTTGATAAGGGACTTTCCGATTGGATTTTCCTTGGAATTCGTTATTTTTACTTTTTATGACGAGAACTATCTAATCACAGTGCAGATTTTTCTTTGACCAAGTTTTTGATGAAAAACTTTGATAGTGTTAACCGATGACTTGGACAAACTTTACCTGGTCAAAGAAAACTTTGGCCAAGTTAACGTGCATAGTGAAAACTAGGCTTCACCAAAAGATATTATATTAGTCCAGTTTTCAAACACGTAAATTTTGTGAAAGTTTTGTTTATTACCACACTTGAAATGTTTTGAACGTATGTTTATTACCACACTTGAAATGTTTTGAACGTATGTTTATTACCACACTTGAAATGTTTTGAACGTATGTTTTTTACCACACTTGAAATGTTTTCCACACTTGAAATGTTTTCCACACTTGAAATGTTTTGAACGTATGTTTTTTACCACACTTGAAATGTTTTGAACGTATGTTTATTACCACACTTGAAATGTTTTGAAGGTATGTTTTTTACCACACTTGAAATGTTTTGAACGTATGTTTATT